TTAATGTAAGAACAGAAGCTGAAGGGGGTTAAAAGAGGGCACCCATTCAGGAGAGATGAAGCCCCTTTTAGCAGAATATACATATGCCGGCCTTTTGGGGGAGGAATTTAGCACACTGTCAAAAACATTATCAGAAAAAGAAAGTAGTAGGCCTCCTACACCTAACAGATATGAAGCTGTCAGACAAAGAATAGCACTATTCATTAAATGACACTTATTTTCTCCCACTTTACAAGAATACAGGGAACAAAACAAGCAGCGGAGCAGCTGAGAGAGACACTTTTTTCTTTTGCTAGTGATGACAGACATGCAGCAATTATGGTGATAACTAAGGAATACTAAACAAGAAGCCAGCCTCCATTCTGTTTATCACCTTAAATTTTATGTTACTAAATTTGCATGCAACTCCTGTTTTGTTTTATTATTTATGTCAGAGAGAAATTAGATGCCTTTGTTTTTAACATCGTGAGCGCCTTGAGTTTGGTGTAGCATACCTCTGTAGTCTATGAATCCTTACACTTTCTTGTTAAATGGCCATATCAGGTTGATATGCTTTTGAAGTAAGACATTGCCAACACACAACAAAACTGCCGTTCTTCACGTGAGCTGTATGTTGGCCTTGGAAGATTGGTTCATTAGTGCAAAGGGAGATATTGTATATTACTTCTGCGCATTTTTTTCAAGAGATAGAGACAAAAGTCCTACTAATTGCTACCCTTGCTTTCATGTTTCATTTTATATGATGAAATGTTATAGTGCTCGTCTGTCTGGGTTTAACAGATCCATTTTTCCCCCTTCACAGAAGTTATAGGTGGTAGGTAGTAGGAAACCCAGCATGTAGAGTTTGTAACAGGTACAGACTAGTAGGAGTTCCCCTGAGATTACTGCCCTTTAAGAATCTTATGCTTAAACCATGATGATCTGATTTAAGTCCCATTATCAATAGCCTGCTACTTATATCTGCATGATCGTGGACTGATTGATACTGACTTAGTAGCCATGTGCTCCATAATGTGCTGTCAGGAAATGCTGACAGATGCAATGAAAGAACAATAAATGTGGGGCAGCCGTAATGTAAAGGTCCAGCTAGGCTGTATGAAAACTGATAGCTAGGATATTGGCTCCTATGTTACCATATACGCCAGTCCCTCTGAGAATTTAGCTGGTGAGTGAATTAAAATGGTCTCCTGATACCTAGAAGGGGGAGGAAAAAAAAAATCTTCATTTAAGGAATTGCCGACTTTGCCAAAACATTGCTTCATAAGGACAGAGCCAAGATTTTTTTAAAAAAAGAAAGAAAGAAAAGAAAGAAAGGAAGGAAGGAATGAAGGAAGGAATGAAGGAAGGAAGGAACGAAGGAAAAAGAACTCTTATACTTGAACATCTAAGCGTGTCTGACACATCTGAGAAAGTATTTCTTAAAAATCAATATACAAAAAGAGCCCTGTATCCACCTTTTGTAATACCTAATACATTTGTATTAAATTACAAGAAGACACATTTTACTAGAATTCCTGCATTAAGTGTATGGTATTTGATACTATTTTTTTTAATCTTGATCTTCATCTTGGTGCATGAATATCTCTGGCATTTTGCCAGTGCTGGTTTTTAAGAGGAAAAGTCAATTTATTCATAGCAAACCAAAGAGGTTACTCTCTTTTTCTTGACTTAAAATGTAGCTTTAAAAGAGTTAGGTTGAACTATAGTTTATTATTTCACCATACCATTCTTCCTTGCATATTATTTTATTAGATACTTTCTGTGTTAATAGGCACCACTTGGTAATGCTTAGTAATTAAAGATGCAATCCACAGTCCAAGATTCATGTCTTAAATAATGTAGAATTCTAATGCATTTTAACAAAATATTAGTAACAAAATAACATTGTCATTTATTTTAATGTCTTTGAAATCAATATAACATATGATACATAACCTCTTAATTTTTTTTCTCTCCTTTGGGTAGGAAATGTAAAGTATGATGGAAACTTAACATATTTTCAGCTCGATCCCCTTGTGGTATCTGCATGTATTGATGTGAATTAAGGTCAAAACTGCCTTAATAATTTTGATTTGCGCCCTTCAGGAAAGACAGAAAAGGGTATTTTCTTTATTTATGAAGTTATCTAAAATGTTTTTTGGGGACTCTGGAAAATCTAGTTTGACTTTAAATAGTTTATGAAAATAATATAATCAGATGAATTTAATTTTTGCTTCAGATCTTATGGTATTAATTTGCTACATATAAAATAGCATTCACAATACATTTTTAGAATTAAAAAATTATAGTAATATTTGAATTATGCTATCTGATGAGACTGCTAAGAGTGTCAAAGCTGATCATTTGGTTAAAAAATACCTGATACCATAATGGTATAAATCCTGAAGAATGAGTTTTATACCACATTATTGTCATAACAGATCGAGTCATCATTACTGTCTGATATGCAAAGGCCTGGTTTAGAAGTCTTCTGTGGGTCCTCTTTAGCACACAAAATATTGACACAATAGACAATAATGGCTCCTTTGGAGCTATTAGGGACGATCATGTCAGGGCCTGTTCAGGCATTTCTTAGCAGGTAGCAAACAGACTTTTGACATGATAGATCATAACAAGTCCAGAGAAATAATTATCATTTCTCAGATTGTACCATACTTGGGAATTTCATAATTTATAATTTATTGAAATTAAAATATATTGTCACTAATGTGAACTTTAAATAACACATTAATTATATACTTAATATTAAACATGTTATGTATTCATGCCTATACCATGTACATTATAAGCTGTACAAACAAGCTAGGTCACATGTGGTTATTTACACTGATCCCTGCCTAGAAACTTAAGTCCACCCTGATTGTTATGAATATTCATAAAAAAATTCATTCTAAGCTTTTTACCTTTTATGCTGAGAGTCAGCCTGGAGCAAATTTTTAATGTCCATCGCATAAACCTTTGAAAGTAGACATGCTAAACTGAGAAGAGTGGGGCTGACTGATGGGCAGGAGTACTGGTGGGCACCCACCTAATTAGACCTTTTGTGTGGTCCACTTAGCTAAAGCAGAACTGGAGGTTTTTTATAAATGAAACCTTTTGAAAAGAAACCTCATTCCCCTCAAACTTTCACATGTTTGCTAAGTACAGAGATAAAAGTATAATCTGCAGAGAAAAATTCCCTGGTAGTTTGATTTATATTATCTAGAAAAAAAAAGATGAGGGATATGATGTTGGATTGTGCTATTTTTTTCTGTGCAGTTCTATTATGTTGAGATGAGAGACAAACAGACTTTTTAAAATAAAATGTCGCAAGCCATTAGCTTTTTATTAAAACAAGAAATTTTATCCATAGGGAAAAACCTTTGAAACTTGAAGACCTTCTAAAATTCTGTGTTCAGTTTTGTGTAGTGTTACTTTATTTGATGTATGTGTCAGTTAATTTTATCATATGTGAGGTATTTAAAGAATGTCCCTTGGATTATTCATCTCAAAAAATGTAAATTCAGCTTTGTCTTAAATGTGTTAATGAATACAAATCCTAACCACACCACATACAAGAAAAGTGGTTTTCGAACTGATACTAGTCACAGGCTCTATTCCCATGGCCTTTGGTGTTTTCAGATTCTAAACTTCAAAACAAACAAATAAACTAAAATTAAAGGCAAAACAAAACAAATTTTTTGAATGCAAAACTTTATTTCGACATAAAAATTTCCGCTTATTGTTAGTACTCTTAGAGAACTGGAATGGGGCAGTGCAGTTTCTGTGAGCGAAAACTGCAATGGCATAAACCTATTGCACACTGGAGGTCACCCTTGCTATTTACAAATTTTCCACAGTTTTACAAGACAAAACTAGACCCTGCCTACTTTCAATATGCACTACAATCTTGATACTTGGTATAAATACATGGATATTATGTGTCTCCCATGTATAGTTAGTCATATTAAGTGCAATTAAGGAACCCATTATGAAAATCTTATGGTTGTCTGATTTTTCTGATGAAATAAGCAAATGACAAGAAGCTTTTCAAAACGAACCTAGAAGTTTTCATTATGTATTCCTTTAATAGGTTTTCAAAATCCTTCTAAATGGTTATAACAGAATTCTAGAGTAGACTTCATATGTTTTGCTAATTTAGTGATTTGTCAGGTATAATTTTACCACCTCAATTCCAGGGAATAAATTTACCCTAGTTAATACTACTTATAGATAAAATTATTTCTGTACTAACTTTATTTTCACAAGATTTATTCATAAACAATTGACCTGATTTTTCCTACCACTTTAATTTTTTCAAAATCATCTATAATAAGAATCTTAAGTATAAGAATTATTTATTAATAAGGCTTTCTTTTTAAAGAATTAAACTCACAAATAAGTCTCTTGCTTTTGTAATTGTATGAATGACAACACATGAAACTATGGATAAAACACTTTATAATGAAGAGATGCAAAATGGGATAGATTGATAGTATCTGATTCAATTTGATTGTGATCTAAAAAATGGGAGGTTTTCTCATCTGCAAACTGTCACAACCAAACTGCAGAGCTTCAGGTGGAGCCCGTCAGCTACAGAAAAAGAGAGTAAGATTAAATACTAGCAAAAACATTATTTCGGGAACTTTTTTTTTCCTAATGAAAGAATAGGCATACCACTTTTTTGGTATATACATAGTCAATTTTTTCAAAATTATTTCATAGCACTTTTCTTAATGTTTCATTAAAAATTCTTATACCTAATTTATACGTGTTTAGCATAATAGGTCAGTTTTGTGGCACAAAGGTCAGAGATCAGGTGTGAGTTACAATGTGAAAGATGGCCTTAACGGATTCATATGAGGTAACAAGTTCAAGAGAGCAGAGAACAGATGATCATATTTCCCATTTAAACAAAAGTCTGCCAATGTTAAGGGATATTTGTCCACTAATAACATCTGAACCCCTCTTGGCTGTTTATATCATGTGAGGCCTCATCCACTGTCCTTGTCATTGTTTAGGGTTCATTGGAGGAAATTGACAAGCCATCCTGCAGGATCCAGATGGTTGATATTTTACAAAGAGAAGCAACTACACAGCCTTTTTTCTCACCTTCCTTTTTGAGACATTGCTGGTGTCATACCTTATGCCTGTAATCTCCCTTTTCAACCTAGTCATTCTGTCTTGTGTGGAAGGCTCACCACTGTTCCTGTGAAGTCTGTTCCAAACAGTCTTGACATTGATGGCTTCTCTAGAACTACCTTGGGTATATATATCATTTGTTTTGGAATTAATGCCTGTATCTTTGAGGTTTTAATTGAAATTGTGTGTGCATCACTTTCATCAGCCAGTGAGCTTGTATATCCAGCTGCAGCAAGGACTCTTTTTTTTTTTTTTCCTGTAATCCGTTCTTGTGAGAGCACATCAGTGGATGCTGAATTGTTGAAAGTAATCTCTCCCTCCTCTGAACCTTCAGAACATTTCTTTTGTATCACTTCTGTAATGGGTATTACTCCATATTTTGTATTACAGTTACTAAAGAATGTGTTTTATCTCTCTGCTAGGATGAAAATGTTGGGTAGCAGAAGTATGTGTTATGCATTTAGCATTATCATTGCTGCAACTATGTTTAGCGCCATACTTTCAATGACGATTTTCAAAAAGTTAACTGGTATTTATCAAGTACCTTGGTACAGAGCAATTGCCAAGAATGGTACAGCACAGATTATCATTGTTCATAAGATCAAGGAGGCTACAATACAGTGAATGAGAGAGAAATGAATAGGAATAATACCAGAACATGACCAGGGCAGAGTGAATGGAGGGAGCATTGAGCTGTGGCTAGGAAGGGAAATAGCCAGTTTCAAGCTTCCTAACAGAAAGTTGGCAATGAGGTATATGTCTTCTTTAAATCTAATTTAAATGGCATAGTCTAGGGCAAAGAGTTCTCCCTCTGGGGATAAGAAAAAAAACTTGAATGGAAAGGATTTTCATTCATTCTCATCCTTCCCAAAAGCGAAATAGCTGAAAGACCTCTTACGCTTGAGTGCCAGAAGAAGTCTGGCATTATACAAAGTCAGCCTTCAAATACTTGTTAAACAAGCGAATGAATGAATGAATGAATGCAGATACTCACTGTGATTTTTCTTGACCTATCAGTCCCATCTGAAAGCATAAACATTCTTTGTATTCAGATGAGAGGTCTCTACCTCTTCTCTAGAAAACCTAATTTCTTGAGGCTAATTTATGTTTACAATTTTCTTCATGAGTGGTGATACTATTATGCATTAATATGACTGTAATAAATTCCATTTTGCTCTGGAATTGTACTATTTTGTCTTTAATTTTTCAGTCTAATAACTGCAGTCCTAAGTTCCTTAACAGAAGAGGCTGCATGTCCTCATTCTCTGTCTTAGACTTTTTAAATTTGTTTTAGATCAGAAAAAAATTTCCAGAGGAAAGATTATTCCTTTGTTTCTGTGTGTTTGGTGATCCTTAAACATGGTAAACAACCATTAAAAATGTAAATTATCAAAATGATTGAAGGAAGATTATATAAAAGTTCATGAAAAGGGTTTGGTTGGGGGTACTTTAAAAAAGAGCCAAGACCACAGTGGAAAAAAAAAAGGGCAAGGAAATAATGAGCTGGAGGCATGATTCAAGTGGTAGAAAGAGAAAGCTAATCAAGAACACAAGGATCTGAGCACAAATCTTGTGTGTGTCCTTGGTACTAACATGCGTTCCCCACCCCTTCCCACTCCTAGAAGATAGCTGAAGTCTGGTACAGAAAGATAACATGTTTATAAGAATATAATATTTTAGGTGGAGTATTTTAAATAATTCTCTTCGTTTTCAAAATCCACAACTCTCCACACCTACCTGTGTATTTTATGAAAAGGAAAGTTGGTTTGTGATTCTCAATAGTGATTAGAGAAATACAGAATGTCTGAAAGTTTGGAGAAAACCTAACTGAGAGGATGTGACACAGTCTCATGTTAAATTCCTCATCCAGATCATAGGGAATGAGCAGCAAGTATTGGCTTTGTAATAATCACCGGTAGAAGGAAATATGATTCATAAACCCAAATTTCATTCATGTTATACCTAGTTTAGAATGAAACCCAGATAGATTTGTATTTAATCAGCTCTATAAACAATTGTTTCACTGCAATTTGTTCTTTGTATTGTCCTTTCTTCACATAGTATCATGATCAACCCCATAAACTATGGGAAGGACTACTGAGTATAAATTCATACTTAAATAATGATATCAGTATTGTTAATGGTATCTTTGTTAATTTCCCTTAATGTCTAGTGATCAATTAAGTCTTAGAAGGAAGTAATTTACGTATGTATTACTGTGTTTACCTGAGAACTTAATGAAACAATGGTAAAATTTGGTAAAAAAAACAAAAACAAAAACAAAAACTAAGCTATCTGATCAAGAGTCTTAAAATTCTGTCAAAGTGAAGTATTTTACATCCATCAAAAGTTCCATTTTCCCCTGGAAAACACAAATGGGATCTTTAAGTATACCTTTTCGTTTCTTGGCTAAAAAACAAAAAGTTCCCATTCCTCCATGGGAAGAAATAGAACATTTTTTATATGGTTCTGGAGTTTTTCAGACAGTTTAATCCACTCAATCATTTTTTTAATCAATTTTAAATGATTAGGGAATATCAAAATGGAGCAAATTCTTTTTCAAAGCATTTATCATCTTCTGAGTTCAAGATCTTCCATTGTACTAAAGATTTTATCATTATAATTTAATTTTAATATTTATTTATTTATTTACTTATGTATTTGTTTATTTACTGGTTCTAGGGCTTGAACTCAATGCTGGGCTTCATTTGCTCTCAGTTAGTGCTCTACTACTTGAGCCACAGCTCCACTTGCTACTTTTTTCTCTTTTGGTAGTTTTACTGGAGATAAGAATCTCACCAACTTCCTGCTTGGGCTGGCTTTGAACCATGATGTTCAGACCTCAGTTTCCTGAGTAGCTAGGATTACAGATGTGAGCCATGAATGCCCAGACATAAAGTTGTTTTCTATGTTATACTTTGCTAGTGTGCACAATTCTCAAAGACCATAAGATGAAATATATATTTTTTTATTTTGAATGAATTAGTGATGTTATTAATTTTTTAGAATATTAGCTCTCCAATTAATCTCACATTGCCTCCACTTATTTCTAAATGTAAACCAGCATACATAAAACCATGTGATAAAGCCATGTGATCATATGGCTATTTTACATGAATTATTCAAAACATCATTGTTTTGCTTTCTTTTTATTTTGTTTTCTCTTCCAGCAATTTTTTAAGCATTGGGATCTTGAGGCCTTGGGAAAAGAGGAGGTTGATTTAAAGATGCTATGTTCTCCAACAGGCTGAAGATAACTAAGCAGGCTTAAATATAGTAATATTTATTATAAATTTTCTATGACTTATTTAAATTAAGATGATTACCATTAGACTTTAGCTTAGTTTTAGCACAATTGGAATCTCTTGATATCTTCAGACCCTTTTATTTGGTATTTGCATAATCACCTTTTATATTGACAAATAAGTTACTGAATCTCTCCAATGGTAGTCATGAAAACAAATTTTAATTGAGTTTGGCATGTCAAAACCCTTTCTTGGGTTTTATGTTTGATGTACCATGCCACATTTTCAATGAATAGAAAACTGCCTTCTTGCATATTTATTACACATTCTCAGTTACTGAGATTTTGTTACACAAGCAGTTGCCTTATTATTTTTTACACCTGCACTTTGATATCACAGTGGTTCATTGTCAATCGATGTAATGTATCAGAAGTGGCACAGCTAATGAGCACACAGTTGCCTTTAGTTCATTTTACATTGTGAAAGCCTACTGGGGAATAGGCTATAAAAATTGAGGGAGGGGTTCTGACATTTTATAAATGTCATATGTCAATCCTACATTGTGATGGCTGTGAAACATTGCATTCTGATGATAGCACAATCATGTGATGGGCCATTCTCACTAGCAGGCAACCAGAGCTTTTTAGCACTAAAAAGAGAGTGATGTATATGTGAGGGAGAGAGAGAAAGGGAGGAAAGGGGAAGAGATAGAGAAAGAGGAGTAGAAAAGGGAAAGAAGATACACAGAGATTTGGTTTACGAGTTAACTCTAATCCTTTTGTGTACATGAATCTGTTCAGATCTAATATTTCTATAAATGGGCAGAGACAAAGTTTTGGTGACTGTAAAAATTACTGATGTGGAAATTGCAGTTTAACTTATTCATATTGGAGAAATGAAAACATCAAGGAACATAGTTTAAAGTTAGCATATTTTAAGGAATGTTTATAAACTGGTTCAAGTTATGGGATAGTAATAGGAAATTTTGCACAGGACTTTATAAAGAAAATCACATTCTCAACTGCAAAACAACAAATCTGTTTTCATTTTCCTGCTGTTGAACATTTATAGATCATCCCTTGTCTTGTTTCAACTGTAGGACTATGAACTCAGGATCTGATAGCAGAGTAGGCAGAGTCTTTTCCATTCCAAATGTTTTTATTTTTAATTTTTGAGCTACTCAATTTTGTATCTGAATGCTTTTATTTTGAATTGAAGATTTTGTTCCTTCAAGATAATTTATATGTGTCTGTGTTTAATGTTGTCAGGGAAGTCCTTGAATGGCTCACTATGTCCTTCTTCTGTCCAACCAGAAAGCAAAGAGAGGGCAAAAGGGGATCACATCTAAAGATTGAGGCCAGGAAACTATGGCAAAAGGAAAATAATAACACAGTTAAACGAGAGTCAGCAAGCCTTCAGATCTACAAAGGCTTTTATTAGAAACCTTTGTTAACCAGGTCAACCTCCTCTAGTGTTGCCTTTCCTGTGATTGACTTGGGCCACCCCCCTCCCAAGTGATCCCCTTTTTTCAGGCTAAAAGCTGAAGCGCACTACCTGGCAATTTTGCGATGTCTTATCATCATCAGAGCACCTTGACTTACAATAGTCCTTACCACACACTGCAGGGAGGCAGGCATTTTTTTTTCTATTTCAGAGAAATGACTTGTTTTCATTTCATGTAACTAATAAAAAGCAGTACCAGGAATGCAGCATGACTTACCATTTCAAGTCCAGTAG